TTTATACCTCCCAAAAAGCTTACACACGCTAGTGTTTAGCTCCTTTTGTTTTTTAATGTGTTGAATAGTTTTGAGCAATTGATCTAACTTGCAGTTAAATGCTTCCGCTAAAAAAACAATAACCTCTTTGTAACCTTTCTTATTATCTATATGAGAAAAAAATTAAGGTTAAGCTGAGGGCAAATTATTAACATGAGGATCAAAAAAAATTTAGCATGTTACTAGTATAGCAGCATATAGGACTCATAAGCTCTCAATGCGTGGAATATGTGCATAGCAATAATTTAACTGCAGGATAAATACATTATACGAATTTTCTCTTTCTCGCTTTGCCTAGATCTAGTTTGTTGTAATGAATTATTTACTTAACAGATGCTTTACATAGTGTAATTAATATAATAATATAATTTTGATCTTTTTTCTTATCAGTGTTAGAGGCATACCTAAACCCACTTCATAAATTGGCAGCGACTACTAAATAAATAGAATGAAGCATTTAAGAAGCAACTATAATAAATTCTTAACAGCTGCTTGATAATATAACTGAAGGATATTTAATACCAAGAGGTAAATGTGTGTTTCTCTTATCATTTAAACAAATGTAGACACTTTCTCTGCCCACACTTATACATTTTCTCCGCAGATAAGCCACGACAGCTCACCTGTTATTCTTAACTCTCATGTCTGCTGTGCTGTGCCGCCTCGCTGATAGCTGAACTAAGCCCAACTCAAATGTAGTTAAATTAATTGCCTAACACCTGCTAGATAGAATTTCCTTAGCACCTACCATGGAGCTCGTTTTAGTTTATGGAGTTCTTAAAGTTTTATTTTTATAACACATAATTTGGGCTCACTGAACCCGGTTAACAGTGAACAAGACTTTGCTCTTCACCCTCTACATCAAAGCAATAGTGCGTGCAAAAGCGACACGAAGCAAGTTAGCATGGAAAATGCTCGATGGCACCGACATTAGAACTGGGCACATGGAAATAGGTAAACTAGTCTGTGCTCATAGATATGTATGTATATGTGTAAGACACGAGTACGACCCCACCGATCAGCTGCACGTTTCGGCTGGTGAAAAGAAGCCAAACCAGAAGCGGACTTTTAAAGGGGACGAGCGAACGAGTCGAGCCGCCTGTCGGTTACCAAATTGAGTGCAGCGCCATTTTCCACAACATGCTTTACTTTATATACACTTACTTAAATATATATATTGTATGTCTGTCTCTCTCACTTTTTTGTTGTTTTGCTTTTGCCTTTTTGGCCACTTTCTTAGCAGGCAGTCTTGGCCATGGCAAAGAACTTGAGCACCATATATGGGAGAGAGCCACAGGCCCAGAACCGGCAACAGAAATTGCACCACTTTTGAGGGCCGTACCAGACCAAAGCGGGGCATCATTATCATTATCAAGACCATACCATTTATTTGCTGCAGTGTACCTTACCTTACTGACACCATAAATGGTCCCAACAGCAACAGCAACGGCAGCAACAACAATAACGACAACAACTTCTACTATTTAGCTGCTAGAGTTACTTTTAGGCTAGCTGAGCAGCCATAGTTGGAGTTTTGTCTGGCACTTTGAAGTCGGCCCTTCAGCAGTGGCTGATTAATGCACTTGGTATTGCTTGTTTGACTAGTGTTAGTTGTTGTTGTTATTGTTGTTGCCGTTGCTGTTGTTGTTGCTGTAGTTGTTCACATGGCTGAGAACAGCTACAAATAAGATTCACTGCCCCAGACGCTGTGCAAGCTGTATTATGTCTGCGCCCCATGTGCATATATTTAGTTAGTTAGCACTTGCCGTAACTTTTCTCGCCTGCCCTATACCTCTTTAAAAATGATTAAATGGGGTATACTGATTTTTGTTACACAATCATGCTAGAGGCAGAAGGAGGCTTAGCTTGGACATAACAAATATAAATAATCGTCATAAATGTATATTCATCTATATGTGAATTCATTGGGAGGTTGAAACCCATAACAGAGAGAGATAGAAATAGAAAGAGAAATAAACTAAGAGAGAGGCAGAAAGTGAAAGAGAGACAGAGAGACGAACAGAAAGATAAATAGAGAGAGATAAGAGCAAGCGAATTATTGTTATGGATAGCTTTTTCAAAATTCAAAAGATCGATAAAACTTCATGAAATTTACTTTCGCACTGCATGTTTTAAAGGTCTCGAGTCACCACGTTTGTTACATAGATTTTCCATAGAAATAACATATAAATATGAAGTACTCTGCTTGTTGAATGACTCGAAGAACATAAGATAATACAAAAAGAATTGGCATGGCGCATATTACCTCTGTATAGTTATCTATAGATAAATATATATGATTTATAACATCAAACGAACCCGATGATCAGGGTATGTCATAGTCAATCACCCTGCCATTCGACTTGTAATTTACTTTTTTTATATACGTATATATATTTTATATAGTTTTTGTGGGTCTTTTTTTTTACTTAATTTTCCCAGCCGCCGACATGCAACCCGCTTAATTTCTATTATCGTATAATGCCATTGTTTTGAACAATGTGCAGTGCACATTTCCAACTGCATAATAAACTAAACACACAAACCAAATATAAAACTCGGTTGATGTTTTACGTACAAACATGCATATGTATAGCTAGGTGTTTGTCCATATATGGCACACTTTAGTTTTTTTATTTTATTATTATTATTATTTGTTTTTACTTTTGTGTTGTTTTTTTAATCCAAAAATATGTACAAAAAAGTATTGTTTAAGCGTCTTTTTTTTCGACGCCAACAACTTGAACTGCTGCTCGACAGAAAGTTCATTAAATTTTTAGACCTGGTCAGCGATTAGAGCCCAAGAACTTTATGCGATTCTAGCTGAGGCAAGCATATGGGCGTCCCTCTTTAATTGGTCTAGTCTGTGAAAATAATATAATAAAAAGCAAAAATTGTCTTTCAAATAGCGGTCACTCGCTTTCCAAAGCACCAAAGCGACCCACTGCAAATGTCGCCCGCCCAGCAGAAAACAGTTGCATTGGCTGAAATGCAAAAAGAACGACATTTATGTGTAACAAAATAAGTAAAAAGAATTGAGGAGAAACGTGACAACGAATGGCGAATACTCTACAAACATTTAATGAAGCATAAATTGTTCTATCAGATCACACATATCTTCAAGGAAATTGTTATGCAGAGAATTTAAAACGAATAGCGAACGCTCTATGCATACATACTTCTTCATATGTCTAACTGTAAGTTTTAGCTGTTATCATATGGTAAATTAATTCAACTCACCTATAAAAACGCCATCACATAGTCAACTATACCCTTCCCAATCTACTCTACGCTCTAAAAAAAATTGCCACATTTTCCTTCTGGGCTAAAACCGAAGTCAACTGACATAGCCAGTTCTTTGCGGCCAGCATTTGCCATAAAGTGCAAAACAAAAGGCTGCAAGAAAAGGTGTCTGAAGAGCGCGTTCATGACTCAGTGGCAAAGCCCACGATGAAGCCCAGTAATGGCCACCACTAAGGTTACCCGCCCTCCTCCTCCCTCCCAGCCGATGGCCGGTTACCAAGCAATAGTGGCAGTTGCTCATGGCATTGAGTCGTGTTCCCCTATGCCTGGCAATGCAATATCTGAAATAGCGGCAAAAGTTCTTCGCAAATATACATTACGCACTACAAAGCTCACAGCGGATATTGCACAGTCTCTAAAGTATTTCCTTTATCGTTTGGCAACTATATACAAAAATAATAAAAATATGAAAGCAAAAGCTAAAGCAAAAGTAAATATTTATTATATTTTTTTTTCTCAACAATCGCAAAAAACCTTCATTTTTGTCACGGTTAGTAGAACGGATGAAATTACATACGGAACACAGCGTGCAAACCTATTGCCAATATTTATCTAAAACTTTTTACTGAAGTAAACACATATTATAATAAATGTAGGCCTGAGTGATAAAGTTTACTTTCCACTATACTGCAAAAAAGTTCTATAAGACGCCGCCTTCTCTGCGATTCTCATGAAATTGAGTAACCTCTAAATACCTTCTATGCGTCGATTTTATTTACCATTAAAATTGTTTATAAGTGTAATAGGAGCCAGACGCTTTGCATTATATTCTTTTCCCAATTTATAAATAACTGTGTGTGACTTCCGTACCAAGATCCTATGTACAAAATCAGACTTCTAACTTATTCAGGTAAGCATTTGTTTACATATTTACAGGTGCATATTTTAAAAGGTAATTTCAAGGGATATTTTAAATAAATTAAGTTATTTATGATAGTTTTAATATACTCAATAAACTGAGTGTTTATATTTTCACATTTTTCAATTTAAATAAATTGTTTCTTATATAATTTAAAAGTTTACTCTACTGTGCTGCTATATAAAATCTGTTTAGTTTTCAGGCGCAATGCATTTTTATGACACATAACCTTAAATCTTTTATTTGTCTGCCTTACTTTGTAACACACACACACACACAGAGAGTGAAGTCGAGTCCAAATCTTGTGCACGTTCTTTTTTGTTCGTGGTAAGCAACTAATTAATGTTTATTGACCCGCGGGCGCATAGCGGAAGTTGAAAATGCATTGCAACAGCATTGAACTTGGTTGAGGTTGCCAGCAAGTTGGACCTGCCAGCGGCTTATCAAGGTGGCCAGCTTTCAGCAAAATTTAAAATACAGCTACTACAACAACAAGAGCAATAGCAATAAAAACAACAACAGCAACAGCAGTAACTGATGACCGCCAGAACTAAACGAAGCTCGATGAAGAACGTAGAGGCAGAGAGAAAGGAAACGATATACTCGTACTAAGACGTTGTTGTTGCTTTTCTACTACGACTGCTCGTTGCTGTTGTTGTTGTTGTTTTTTTAGTTGCCTACGTGCATTTGTATGCAAACAAAATATAAAAAAGAACAGGAACACAAAAAAAAAAAAACAAAAGCGTGTGCATAAAAAATGCAAAGGCATCACAAAAAACTTGTCGAACTGGTCGCTTACTTTGGAGTTGGGTAGTCGGAGACCAAAGGCAAAGGCAAAGGCAACGCCTGCCCCGCCCGCGACGACAGCGTTAAGGATCCGTCGAGTGTGTGTAGGCCAAAGCTGTAGGGCACTTTTGAGCCAGTCACAGTCAAGCAATAAGTGTATGCACCCCGTTTACTGCCAATATATATGCGATCGTTGCGGCTTTTACAATTATCATTTGCATATCATAGACGCGTGCATACACACTCACACACTCGCACACACACACACGTACGCACGCAAGCGAGCGCAGACACGAGAGTAGCTGAGGAGCGAACAAAACGAACACACCGACGACCAACCAACCGCACGGAACGAAGCGCGCAAATTGACTGATGCGAAAAAGCTAGTCTCAGAACAACACCAACTGTTACGTGAAGTGCTCTCGCTGACGCAGAAATGCTCTCTCGCGCTTGGGGCAGCTTCAATCTACAACTCTCTTTTGCTCTTTATCTCTCTGTCGGAGCTCTGAACTGTAATCAGCTGTTTAAATATGTGCGCGTATATTTTTGTCTTAAAAAACACATCGCTCTAAATACTATTGCACCTAAAAGTAAATCTCCGATGTAGCGCGCACTCAGTGGGAGCGCGCAATATCGGAGAAGAAGGCGAGTATGTCCTGTATGTTGAACTCCAGATTGATCATGGCGCCCGCATAACATTTCTGTATGCGCTCTTCGAGATAATTGTACTGGGCTATGAACTCTTCCTGCATGGCATGCCATACCACCTGCAGAAGATTCTCCTCCTCGCACAGATGTTTCTCCACCTTCTTGTAGAGGTTCTCCAGACCCTTCTTCACTTCTCGCGCTGGATATTGGCTGATCACCTTGCGAAGCTCCTGCTTGGAGAAGGCCATTTGGTAGCTTATTTCCGTCTCTTTGACGCCCTGCGCTACCTTTTGCTGCACGCCCTCAAAGAATTGCTGAAATTGGGAAGAGTTTTAGAAGTATTTGAAGACTGGAATCTACTACACTTACGTTCAGCTTCTCCAGTGGCCTGCCAAAGTACTGCGTTACGTATGCCTTGAGCGCATCGTTGTAACGTATCTTTGCCTCCTTCTTGAGGGCATCTAAGCCGGGCACCTTAAGCTGTGCCAACAGTGAGTACATATGATGATAGTTCTCCATGCGCACCACCTGTGACGGCGTCTTTGGATGTTCCTGCGAATGTACGCTAATCCCTTCGAATATGGCATTAACCAGCTGTAGGTACCATTTCTCCATGTCCGTGCGACGATCCGACTTGCGAAAGATGCCCTCTGCCGTCTGTGCGAAGTTCTCGAAGTTCTCCACATAGGGCAGAATGGCCTTTGATCGCTTGGGAAGCTTAGCCTCCTTAATGGACTGCAGTTGCTGCTGCATAAAGCGATCAAAGTTGCGTTTGACCTGCACCAATGCCGAGGCAAAGGTCATGCTCAGAAAGGAATGTGTGTCCTGAGCGGACATAACGTGCTGCGTTAAACGCACCAACACATACAGAGAGTAGCTAAGAGAAGATACGTTTTAGTATAGAAGATACACAGATTAAGTTATATAGGTGACTCACAAGCTATCCACACGCTCAAAGCTTTGTATGAAGCTAACTAGCTCCGGTTCCAGGCAACCAAAGAGTCCCATCATCAGTTTGCGCACTTCCTCATTGATCTGACGATCGATGCGCTTCTGAGGCACTCCACCAGCATCTGTACTTGCGCTGGTAGGCGAGGCGGTAGAGGCGTTGAACGACTGAGACATATCCACGCCCTTATCCTTTTCCATATCCAGCGTCGTTTGGGTGTTCTTCGTTGTGGGACTTATCACATCCATTTGAAAGAAATTGATACAGAACAACTGCTCCTGCAGCGCAATGGGCTCAAGTTCGGCCAGAACTTTTTCCAACAACGCATCGAAACGCACACGATCCGCACTATCCACGCCGGGACCCCATTGATCACGATTGATACCCAGCGTGCCATACGGAATGGTGGAGACGGCAGACTTACGTGACGAAGTGGACATATCCAGATCTTCGCGAGAGTTCCGCAGCTTGTCCGATACTTGAAGCTTGGCCTGAAAAGGAACAAGAGTTTACTAGGGGATGCACACCAATTTTATACAAATATTCTTACTAGATTAAAGAAATTTCTGATATCGCGATCATAGATCTTGCTTAGCGAAGCCGTATAGACGCGCATCAGTCCGTCGTAGGTCTTGCGATCCATGGCCTTGGACCAGTGCATCAGCTCCGTATACGGCGTCAGCTCGCGATGCACATTCGAATGATTAGGGAGTACCAGCTCGGTGCTAGTCAACGGCATATCACCAATTTCGTTGCCAAGATGGATGAAGAGGTTGTTTAGGAACCGACTAACTGTAGCTGAAAACTTCTGTTTCCACTTCTCAAATCGTTTCCGCTGATCCTGTACAGCTTCCAGGCGTAGCAGCGCTGGGTCTATATCGCTATTCATAGCCTGCTGCAGACACTGCGCTGCAGCGATCGCTGCCTTGCGTCCGGCTGCAGTCTTTAAATCGGGATCCTCCAGTGCCTGCTGATGGCTATGCGGCAAGTCCAGTTGGCTCTAAAAGGAATTTGGGAATTAATGCATATCAAGAAGTAACATTGTAATACTCACAATAACTTTATTAAGTTCCTTCATTAATTTGATATTATTGTTATTGGCAATTTCAATCATGGCATTCTTGCCGCCTATTTTCTCCATGGTCTCCTTCACATGACCCAAAATATCCTCATAGGTATCCAGACGTGTTTCAAACTTGTCCGCCTCCGTTATAGCATTGTCTATATGCTCCATCATTTTGAGCACCTTTTGCTCAGAGGCCAACACACTTTGCATATTAGCCTGTAGATATTTGAATAATTAGCTTACTTCTGACATATTAAAATTTACTTACACCATCCAAATCGTGCAGCTCCTTGGACAGCTGCTCTATGAACTGCTCCGCATCCTTAATGGCAAAATCACATTCGGAAAACAGTTTGCCCAGCTCGTTGGCCTCCTTATCCGTGAGCGCTGTAAACTCTTGCGCCTCCTCCTCGTCCTCTTCATCATCCGAATTGGTCGCTTTCTGGGTTACATTGCCCGCTCTTCCTTCGCGACCTGCCGCTATTTTCTCTGGCGATTTCTCCGATAGCCATGCTTGAGGCACATTACGGAATTCGGCACGGGGTCCACGCACATACTTTTGTATCTGTCGATTGAGCACAGCCAGAAAATTCTGACGCTCGTGCAAATTTAGGGCGTACCATTTGTACAGCTTTTCCAGTTGGATGTCAAACTCGTGCGTCTCGAACTGCTCATTGCGGCCATCGATCCACTTGATTTCATCCAATTGCCAGCTACGTTTTCGCTTATACTCGCTATCCCGCTGCTCGTATTGCTTCACCAGGCAGAGCGTAACCACCGGTACGGGTGGCGCTGTCGTCAGCACACATAGGTAGCAGGCCCGCTTGTCTTTCTTTTTGAAAGTCTTCGTCACCGTCACCACTGAGAGCAGGCGTTCGCCGCTGCTGTTGAACAGCTCTTTTTGCAGTATGTGCTTGATGTTGGCCAAAGTGCCGATTGTCAGCATGGCTACGGAATGTGGGCAGCGTAAATTTTCTTTGCAATTTTTTCAACAATTATAATTGTTTCCAAATTGAAGAACGCCTCCACCAAAAACAGCTGATCGATGAGCCACTGCCAATGTGCAGCTAACTTCAAGTGAGTCTGAAACTTGCGCGCAGCCAACATAACGTTGTTCAGTATTTTTTCAACGCTTGCACACAGTCACACTGGTCGATACATAAGTAAATCTTGGTGAGTAGTTTTAATGCGAGAAAAAAATATTGAAAAAATAAAAACATATTTTGTGCAATTTTATAGCAAACATGTTGGTTAAGCATATTGTCAAGCAGGGTCTGCTGCTCAGGAATGGTAAGTACATGTCTTATATACTGGATTTGAGCTGCTTTTACTAACCTTAAAAATTACATAATGTGTCGCTCCTGCGTCATGGAGATTTATGCTTATTGAGTATATAATAATATAATTTGATTCTTTGCTGACTTCTCTTTTGACAGCTGGGGCCATGTCGCGCGCCGCTTACCACGGTGGACACCACAAGCACTCCACCATGGACGATTTGCCTGTCCCAGCTGGTGACTGGCAGGAGCAGTACAGCCGTAACAACACCAAGTACAATGCCACCCTCTTGACTGGAATTTTGATTCTGGCCGGCACCATTGGATTTGTGAGTAACTATTCGGGTATCCAAATTATCCACACTAAGACTCCTCATTTTCCAGGTGAAAACTTCCGGCTTGATTCACTTGAACTACAGCCCTCCCAGCAGCTTGGATTAGATCTTCGCCAATCCCGTACATTTCTGATAAATATGTGTTGAATAAGCTTAAAGTGGCGAATTAGTAAATCACAATCCCAAACAATGTTTATTTTTTGCTTAATATACGGGACCATCATCCATATTGTCGTCCTCTTCATTGTACGCTTCGCCATTATCGAAATAATCGTTGGCATAGTCGTTCTCCTCGTCCATCTCATCGTCGAGCGTGGCATCTGGATCTTCTTGGTCCTCGTCGTGCTCCGAGTCGCTATCCTGCTTGGCTTCGTCGTTTTCGTTTTCACCACCGCTTGTGAGCTCCTTCTGCTCTAGCTGTTTCAGTCTATCCTCAATATTTGTCTTTTTGGGCATCAGCTTGGGTCGTGGCTCAGCCGCACGTCGTTTGCGATTGTTTAGATTTAGTTCCCTTGGCATTGCTTTGTAATTAAATTCGGGCTGTGCCCTATGCTTAAGGCGCTCCAAAGCTTTCTGTAAGGTAAATAGTTAAGTGATGTTGATATTAATATTTTGACTCTTACCTCTCGCCAGTCCTTAACATTAATATGTTCTTTCTCCTGGCTGGCTGAAATAATATAATAGGGTGAATCACGCATGCGGTTTAAAAAGTCTTCTTTCCACAGTAATTGATAGTTTTGTGAGGCAGTCGTCTAAAAGAAAACCAATTTATCTAAATAATATAGTATAAGGGCATTTCGCACATACCTCAAGGGAAATTGGTTTGTTGAGTAGCGGTGGAAATGTTGGAGGCGGCGCCGTTTGCACTTGTGGCATATCTTTGCCCATGCAGCCTAGCGCCTGCATCTGCTCGGCAGTGAGCGATCCTGTCTTCCCACCACGCCCACGTCCAGCCATTTTCAACGATTTCTTTTATATTTTATCAATTGAAGACTTGTTTATGTTTAAAAACTCGCACGCGTTTATTTCCACATTTCCAGCCATTGGAAGCCAGCTGTTTTACCAGGGATGCCTTGTCAGTTCAGACGTTGCCAGCTTGTTAAAAAAAACAGGCAATACCAATTTGAATTACATTTATTTATTACAATTTGCACTTGATACTTAAAACTAAAAAAAACTTAATACATATATATTTGCAAACATGCACTTGATAATATCAATCCTAAGATCTAAGTAAGTTAATTTCGCTTCAAACTGAATTTATACAAATTCGCTATATTCGATTATTTCTGAGGCGCTGGCTCATCATCAGTTGGCGCCAGGCCCACTTTTTGCATTAGCTCCGTCAACTTTTGTGCCTTGCGATCTTCGTTATGGGCTATAACCGTGCAGAGATGCTCCGTGAGCAGTTCTTTTTTCTCTGAAGCATTGTGAAGATCCAGCTTTGCCTTTAGAAATTGAGCCTCGATTCGTATATACTGTTTTCTGTTGATAAAAATTAATAGGATATTAAAATTGAATTGGTTGTAAATATTTGTATGACCTACTCAACATTGGCGAAGTGAATGCATGCGTTGTCAATCTGTTTGCGCAGCAGAGCAACATCCACGGCCAGATCGCTCTCCAGCTTTGAGAGTTCGTGACGTATTTCTTCAATTTTACGGCATTCAGCGGCAGTTTTTTGCGTATGCTGCTCGATCGCTTGGTAAAGCATTTCTTTCTTTTGCTTGTTCTGCTCCTGAATCATTTTACGATGCTGTTCGAAGTCCTTAAGCGAAACGCCCTTGAAGGGAGAGTCCGTGCTGATCCGCTCTTCTGTCGAGTCTTTGGTGCTGGGCAAGATGCTGGCGTCATCGTCTGTGCTGCTTACCTTCAGTATTGAGCTATCATCCGTCGTTTCGCTGGCATACGTGGCAGCTCCAGATGATGGCTGAGATTTTCCGTTTGTCATCGGCGCTTTAACGGAACCACAATAGAGCGCTTCGACCAGTGAATCAGATAAGCCACGTTCCAAATTTAGAGATTCTTCTTCTTGTGTGGGAGTGGGCGGTTCTTTCGGTTCTGGTTCTGTAGGCGTGGTTGAGCGCGATTTGGCCTTGGCAGCAACAGTTTGTTGAGGCCTCTGTGGCTGTTGCTTTCGCAATTGATCTGCCTGCCGGAAGAGCTTATCCGGCATCCGTCTAATACCGGGCTGGCTTTTGAGCGCTTGCTTTGCTATAAATATTCATGTATTCACATATACCCATGTTTATGTATGTATAACAACAATTGTTTTGTTTAGCGCACACACACACACACGTAAAACTGAGAGAAATACTCTCTATCAATCTCAACAATTACCTGCTTCAATATTGAGTTTCTTTTTGCCATCTTTTATTCCAGTTATTTTAAGTATCTCATCGTGGCTAAATCCATTAAATTTCTCAGCCATATTGTAATTTTAATAAATAATTAGCCATTAGCACTTTAACAACACATCAGCAAAGCAAACACGACAAATGGCGTTGCCATCTAGCTCTGTTCGAGGATCGCTGTTATCGAAAGCGATGAAATTGGGGTCGATGTGCCCGCGTATTTAAACAAAAAGCAATCGAAATTCAAAACAAAATAATAAAAACTTTATTGAAACGGCTTAATGCCTAACTCGGCGCGCAAGTCGTTCACTTTTTGCTCCCATCGCTTCTCCCAGTAAATCGGCATTAGTGGCTTCATTTGCTTGCTATTTTCGATGGCCCACGGCAAATAACGCTTCAAGTACTCTCGACGCTGTCTGTGAGTAAAAAATAATTTTAAAAAACACTCAGCCATGAGTCAGTCGTTTTATGTTGTATTTAATTAACGCTAGAAGGTCGACTCACCTGGGTCGCAACCGCACCGCTCCAAACACTGCGGCTCCATAGCACATGGGCAGTCCGTTGTTCAGGGCTTCCACCCATTTGACAGTCACCTCACAGAGCATATTCGTCGGCATATCCAGCACGGCATGAACTAAGTCGTGACATTCGCGATAGCGCGTCATTATATAGGCCAGTTTAGGATCTTCCAGAAAGCGCACTTCCATGCGCGAATCGGGCGTCACATTCTATATTGATAAATATGCAAAAAAAATGGGATATGCTTTAAATAAAATATATA